TCTTGGACAAAACTAAATTCAATAAGCAAAAATGAGTTTATGAAATAGTTGTGTGTGGTGGGGTTTTTTTGAGACCTTTCCTGTAAAGAAGTTTTTTTTCCTCTTCCCCCCCACCCCCCAACTGTTCAGCCGACATGAACATGAGACATATGAGATGCTATGCCTAGGGAAGGGGAACCAAATGTATGAATAAAGAATGGGCAATAAATGGCTAGGTTGGAGTGTTTCTGAGAGAGATCTGAGGTTGTGGTGGGTCACAGACTCAAAGTGAGCCAGCAGTTTGATCCAGTTGTCAAAAAACAAATGCGATGTAGGGCTGTGTTAGCAGGACAGGAGTATAGTATGTAAGACACAGGAGGTGATAGTTAAGCCTCAGAACTCTTGTGTGTTTTTTGGGCTCTGCAGTTTAAGAAGGACCTGGAGAAACTGGAGAAGGTGCATAGGCAAGAGACAAAGATATGGGGGTTAAGCGTGCAAGGAAGTGTTGAGAGAACTAGGTATGTCTAGCTTGGAGAAAAGGGAGACGTGATCGCAGCTTTCAAATATTTGGTAGGCTGCCATAAAGAGGGAGAACAACTGTTCTCCCTTGCTGCAGAAAGCAGGACATGAAGCAATGGGTTTAAAATGCAGTGAAAAAACAACTCCTTTACAAATCGGTGCATCTTACTGTCAGGACACCAGGACGGTGGAACAAGCTACTCAGGAAAACTGGCGAATCTCCTTAACTGGAAGTTTTCAGAAAGAAGCTGAATAGGCACTTATCAAAGATAATGTAGAGATATAGTGTCTCCTATATTCATTCATGCTGGAAGGCTATCTAGTTCAGGTCCTTTCCAACCTAATGATTTCCAAAGTTATAGAATGGAGTGAAGTGTAGTTGATATTTATTTTTTCTGTTGTTCAGATAACTGTTCAGAATTCTTCAGGGGATTTTCCTCACTTCTGGCAAATTGCACTGATGTATTGAAGCAAAGAGGTAAATGCATACAAGAAATAGGTTTTATTACCCTGCCTCAGGATAGTTTTCTAAAGATCAGTAACAAGGGCCCTGCTACTTCCTATCAGCCAGGTAAAACCAGAAGCTTAAGGTTAAGTGCCCTCAGTGACTCATCATTTAAAAGCGTGGTTTTTGAAGTGTTTTATGACTTACCATCTGAGAGCTACAAACATAGTGACTGATAACAACTTTCTGATGCTATTCGACCTGTGCATTTATTTTGGTGGATTTAATCCAGGTGATGATGATGTATTTTTCTTTTATTACACACACTTTGCTGGGAAGGACCATGGCTAAATGGGTACAGGGATTAAACTGTGCCTCAGTGCTGTGATGCAGGCATGTTGGCAGATGTGGAGAAGCTTGTCTTGCTGCTGCCTAAGATCTTATTCTGTGGATAATATCAGTCTTTCATCAGAACCTAGGTCTATAAGGGACCACCCAGTTCACTGAGTCCAGTCGCCCTCGGTTGCAGGCAACTGGGATGCACAATAAATCCAGAAGGCTCCACAAGAACTTTCACTGTTTCTTCCCATCCAACACCTGCAGTCCCCAAAACACCCTTCCAGGCCTTCCTATAACATAACAGTCATCATTGACTCCAAGATGAACATGGGTCAGCAGTGTGGGGAGGCAGTTAGGAAGGCCAACCGTACCTTGTCATGCATCCACAGATGCATCTTGAGCAGGTCCAGAGAGGTGATCCTCCCCCTCTATGCGGCACTGGTCAGGCCGCAGTTGGAGTACTGCGTCCAGTTCTGGGCG